CCCCCCGGCCCCGCACCTGCTCCAGCCCCGCGCCCTCCGCCGCGCTGTCCCCGCCGTGTTTCCTCTCCGGAGGTGGCGGCATAGCAGCCCCCCGTGTCCCCTTCAGGATGTGTCCCCATCTCGGCTCCCCCGTTCCCTGCATGTCTCATAGATGTCCTCGTAGCAGCCCTTCACGTCCCCTTGGGTTGTGTCCCCATAGCGGCCGCCCTCCGTGTCCCCTGGCTGTCACCTCCAAAGGTGTCCCTTCACTAAAAGTGTCCTGCTGTCCCCTTGTTGTCCCCTCTATGCGACATACCAGTCTTCCATCTCGCATTCGGTGGTGTCCCCATCCCGGCCCAGTCTGTCCCCTGGGTGTCCCCTCTGAGATGTGTCCCCATTCCAGCCTTTTCCCTGCATGTTCCCTCCAGGAGATGCTGCCACCCCGCAACCTTTCCTCCAGGTGTGATGGCGTTCTGAGCCCACTTTCCCCTGCATGTCTCCCTCCGTGATGCTTTATCAGCCACCCGTGTACCCTGTGTGTCCCCTCCAGGACGTGCCACTGTATCTATGACCTCCTGATCTTCCCCACCAGATGTATTCCCCTGCTGGTCACCCCCATTCCCGGGGCACCCCTCCCAGCCCAGCTTGCTGGGTGTCCCCTCCTGGGCACACCAGTGTACCTGGATGTTCCCCAGCGTACATCCTGACACAATCCCTGTACCCACCCTCCTGTTCCCTGGGCATCCCATCCAAGACTCAAGTGTCCTCTTCTGGACACAGTGCCACACTTGGGCCATCCCCTGAGCATGTTCACCAACTCTGTCCCCTTGTGTTCCCAACCCTGCGTGTTCTCATCTCTCTGTCCCCCCTCTTCCCCAGCCCTCCACGTCCCCTGTCCCCAGGCCCCCGTGCCCCCAGCCCTCCCGGGATGGCCGCGATCCTGTCCCCTGTCCCGCAGGTCCTGCCGCGCAGGCCGGAGCTGTGCCGCGGAGGCTCCCGCGGGCCGCATGGCAGGAAGGGCGGATGGTCTCCCAGATCACCCACCCCAGCAGACTGGTGGGGCACAGCTCGGGCGGAGAAGTACCAAAGCATCAGTTGGACACCAGGGTCAGGCATGAGCCAGGAGGAGGAGGAGGAGGTGGTGGAGGACCCGTAAGTGAACGACAGCCCCGAGCCCGCTCCCTTCCCGGGGTCCCTGGCAGGTGGCAGGTCCAGGTCCCCAGGCAGCCGCCGTCGCTGGCCCAGCCGCACCCCAGCGTGTGCGCGGGTGCCGGCAACCCGAACTGGAGCCCTCGTCCCCCCAGGGACCATCCCGTTGCCATCCTCCCCGGAGGGACACTGACTTGTGCCGAAAAATCCCATTAAATCTGGGAACCGGTGGCGCGCGGGTGTTGGGAGAGATGAGACGGGAGCGGGCAGGTGGCGAGCAGGGCTCCCCCAGGGACAGACTCGTGGGTCCGGCAAGGACCAGAGCTGCTCTCCAGAGCACCCCCGGCTCCATGGGGTGACCTTCACCCCATCGCTGCCTGTCCCGGCGCTTCGGGCAGCGGCACACGCACCCATCGGGCCCGGGGGAGTTGCGGTGTTGGCAGCCGCGGGGGCCGGCGCCCATCGATCCGGATAAAGGCGAGCTGAGTCGCTGCTCTCGCCGCAGAGGTGATTTACACCCGGCGTCGAGTGAAGCCGCCGGACGCCGGGAAGCGCCGGCAGCCGCCGCGCTGGCGGGGGGCCAGGGAGGTGTTAAACTATGGTGTGGGATGGGAGGGAGCAGCGGAGATCTGGGGAATTCGGGGCTCAGCCCTCTCCGGCAGCGCTGCCGGACCCCAGGGATGCGGTCGGGGCCCGGGACATCCCCTCCCTGTGATGACAGACGGCTCCTCATCCCCGTGTCATCATCCCGAGCCGTGCCGGTTCCCAGCAAGGGGACAGGGCACATCAGGATGGGTTTGGCTTTTCTGCCGTTTCCCCGTGTGAAGCACCGGAGGGACCTGAGCCGGTGCCGGGTTCTCTCTCGCCCGTGCGCCGAGTTTGCGGGGTCTGAGGCCGCGCCGCAGCGCTCGGCTCCCGCTGCCGGCGGCAGGAATTAGGTCAGGAGCGGCGGCGCCGCAGGGCGGGAGAAGCCGCGGCTCGGCTGGGCTGGGCCCAGCTCCGGGGGGACCCCTGGCACCCCCACCCCAGCACGGCACCCGCGGAGGGGGCGATGGGGCTCAGGTGCCATCCCAGTGCTCCAGGGGTGATGGGTTTAAGAGGAAAAAAAAAAAAGCGATTTTTCTTTATGCTGAATTTTTCGGTTAAAAAAAAAAGTGCCTCTTCACAGGCTGCGTATTTGGGTTGGGGTTTGAATTATTATTTTAGGTATGAATTTTTGGGGGGCTGACGGCTCTGGCTGTCCTGCAGGGGCTGCACCTGGCACAGGTGAGCTTCATGGTGCGTGCCTTTGGCTCAGCCTTCACCCTCGATCTCCAGCTGAACCAGTGAGTGACCGGGGGGTCCTGGCAGGG